ATGGCCCTACAGTGGTACTTGATGATACGGTGGAGGCAACAGATTGTACTATGGTAGTACAGACTAATGCGGTGGTTGGGGCACCGAATCATACTGTGGTGGTGTCGGGTGGTACTGTGGAGGAGTGAGGTCATATTAGGGTAGCTCAGGATCCTCCCACTGCAGGGGTGGTTCAACTTATGGCAGCTAGGGAGGGTAAAGTAGCTCCCTCATTTCCTCCTGGTTCTGCTGGGCAGCAATGAGTCTCTCCACCATCTCAAATAATCGGTCAACATCCTCTCTAAGCGAACCCTCCCAGACTGCTTGGTTTAGTGGGAGCCTTCATCTCCTCATCTACCCATACCTGCATTTCACAAGGAATGGTTAAGTAACAATTCATTATTCTTAGTATTTCCTATGGTTTTGTGTAAGGAATGAGTTTGAAGAACGCAGCTCTGATACCAACTGTAATGACCCCGGAATGTCCAAAGAAATAAATTATAATTAAGTACGGAAGTGAAACAAATGGTTAAGGTTTACATTTCTTACACAATAATTTAAAGTACCGAATAATGTTACGGGAATTACTTTTTTTTTAAAAAATACAACAAAAGAAGGAAATAAGGGAAAAATAAATAAAACTAGCATCCTACTCGCAACCCTCTTGTGGATCGGGCTCTAGATCCTGATCCTCTTGATCTGAAATGGTTAAATAAGGAATGAGCTACACTATCCCAGTGAGAATATCACACCAACTCACCGACACATAAATGAAGGTTGGTAGAAAATCAAAACAATTAATGGAACACTTAATTAAACAAATTCATTTATTAATAATAAAGTCATTTACCGTCCACTTACCATAGTTAGATTTACAAAAATAATCTATAAAAACAATAACATTATACATATCATGATTTTATATGTAATCAACAACATAGCATATATTATACTTTCATATTCAAATAACCGAAACAACAACTGTCACTTTCCATCAGCCTACTGGTATCCACGGGGGTTCATAGGGATGTCTTCGCTACGCGTGAATCTTTTTCCTTAACATTCTTAATTACGGGCCGTCCCCATACTCTGTTCGGTATGAGCGCCAAATTATTAAATCTCGATACCCCGTCCAATATGAGGGTGAAATGAGCCGTCCCCACCCATCAGTATGAGCGCCAAATTAAGCCTTGATACTCCGTCCGGTATGAGACAACGTTCACGGTAGGATTTCCTATTATACCTGGTCCATCTATCATCTCCTATGATATCCAGTAAGGCTGCCGTTTCATCTATTTACTTAATCACGTAATTTTCTATTTTTCTTTAGTTTTCATTTTCTAATCCAATCGTAATCACATAAATCAAACGATGCATGCATTCAAAACTATAAGATCGATCAATAAAGTACTATCATGCATTAAAACTGTAAAAACAACTAATAGAACAACAGTAGATAATTTACAGTTCTGGCTCTATTAGTAATCCATAATTAATTATGAATATTTTTTAAATTATACAAAATATCATATTATTATTTATTTAGAATTCAATTTTATAACAGAGAATAGGGTGAGGGATTCGTACTCAATTTAATGCCTGAAAGACTAAATTGTTGACTGCACCTACTGTCGGTCCCCGAGTTCCCTAAATTTTTCTTCAAGAATTAAAACGTATTATAAGTACCTATAAATATCCCAAAAAAATCCAAAAAAAGTGTCAGGGCTCACTTTGGCCAATTCCAGAATTTTGGCACGACGGCTCCGCCGTGCTTCGGCAACGACAATGCCGCCCGCAGCAGCGGTCCGCATCGGTTCGGCTGTTTTTGGCTATTTTCGGCCGAATTCGACCAATTTTGCATCAATCCTTGCGATAAAACATGTTAAGGGGTCTCGATTGGTCGGAAAAATACAAAAAAACTGAAACTCATCGGTGGCAGGGCTCTCTGGTGCGGCGGCTCCTCTGGCTCACGTTGTGGTTGTGTGTTTTGCTCCGGTCAACCTGTAAAAAAAGAAACGTTGATCACAACGGTAAAAAAATTACGCATAACAGGAATTGGGAAGGGCTTCATCGGAAGTATTTTATGAAATTCTATGCAGCGGCGCCGCTAGATTTTGTCCGTAATTTTCGACCAATCGGCTGGTCCTTTTGCTCTAATTTGGCCATAGGGGTGTTTAAAATTGAATTCTAAGTAAAGAAAATATTTTTTTACTTTTTTTGGCAGCCGAAAAGGGCTCCAGTGCGACGGTGGGTGGCGGCAGCTCTCCTTCCTGACTGCTGGGTCTTCTTCTCTAGTGAGGGTGTTTAGCAGCTAGGGTTAGAGTTTGGTGTTAAGAAAGTTATTTATATTCGTCATCATCTAATCTGGGCTGTCCATCATGTTTGATCTGGACCGTCTGATTGTGATTAAATAGAGAGTGAATCTGGACCGTTCATCGTAATCTAATCTGAACTATTCACCATGGTCTAATCTGGACTATCCGATCGCGTTTGGGGAGGGAACGCACCCAGGCTGTCTGTGCGCGCGGGAACGGATCTAGACCGTTTGATCACTGACACGCAGATCGCTCGCATGACACCACGTCAGCGTCCGTTGCCACGCGACGCGTCTTGGTTCATTGGGGCTGTTGATCAGGCATCCTACGTGGCAAAACTATTCTAAATTGTATTTTGACATCCGGTTTCTGATTTTTCTTTCAAAAATATCCTAAGAACCCAAATTTTCATCATTTTTTTCCAAAATTATTTTCAATTTCATCCTCCATCACATTTTCTTCATTTTTACACTAAATCAAAATTAAAAAATTAAAAAATTATATTTATAATTAATTTAATTTACAATTAAATTAATTTAGGCACTACAAGAAGTATGATTATATATTTATACTTGAACACTTAAACAAAATTAGACTAAGAAACTTAATTAAAAATAATAAAATAATTAAATCCTAATCCAAAATTGATAAAAGAGTTAAATAATTACTAATTTACTTGAAGAATATTTCTCTCCTCATTGGCCAAAGATCTTCATTAGACTTCAATTTTGAGTATAAGTCATTCTTTAAATCAGCATGTTAACCACGTGTGGAAATTAGTAAATTTGTAGAAGTCTTTTGCAGCTTGGAATCATATGGGGATAAGGAAAAAAAGAGGAGTCCTCTTTGGACTCTTGGCCTATTGCATGCGTGTAACTAGCACGCGCTGAAAGGTTCTTCACGCACGCGTGCGTCAGTGGTTGTTCACACAAGCGTGCTCCTGCGCATCGCCTGCTAATGTGCGTGTGCAGTAGTACCACACAGGCACAACTACCACACATGCGCACTATACTACGTGCAATGTTAGCTTTTTCTTACATCTCGTGTGCTTCTTCATGCGAGAAATAATCTCGCATGTGGGGTTGCTCCTTCCCACTTATGTGGTTGCCTGCATACATGAAGACTAAGAGACACTTGCATGACATGTCCTGTTCATGGCGCGTCTTGGCCATATGATTTTTTTAGCCTTCTCTTGTGCTCCCCAAGTGAGTTCATTGATTATCCGTTCTTAACCAAGAGATTGAAAGTATTTCGAAATTTCTTGACTCGATTTCTTGTAATTAGACCCAGAGTTAATGGATTTGGTTTCACATTTCTCCAAGCCCAAATTGCATTTTTTAGACCTTTCTCGTTGAGACAGAGTAGGAAACAAAGATGACTTTCTTGTGGTTTCTTCTTTATCATTCCCTCGGTCATCTTCTTGAATAATTTTTATGTTCGAGATCATATTAAAAAATTAAGTTTTTCGACTAAAAAGCATAATTACCACCCTTATCTCATTTAGTTATTAGTTAAGGTGGTATTAGGTGGGTGCATAATTGTCCTTATTTCCTAAAGCCTTGGCTGTATGTCCTCTTCTCTAAATAAAACCTGACAATTTGTTTATTTCATTGAAGTTAATCATGCAGTATAGATATATGAACATGACCCTAATCACTTTGATTAAATTATTGAGACTTGAAAGTTTTACAATAATAATATTTTCACATTTAAACATTTTTCTTCATTAAAAATTGGATTATATGGTTGAATGCCTGTGTTTAATACATTTCAAAAGATTTGGACATGCTTTATTGCTTATTTCTTGTTTGAGAATTTGGAAGGCTAGGATTAACCAATATTTTAAGGAGTTAAGAAGGTTGCTCGGATGAATTTTATCAGCTAGCTTCAAGCTTTGATATAAAAACTAAATTTTTACATTATGACATTATATGGGTAATGTAAGAAGTATATAAATGTATGATTTTAGTATTAATAATTATTGTTTAGATGTCTCTAAATTAGAAGACTTGCTTACAGTCTTAAACTGAAAAAAGAACAAATTTATTTTTGAAATCATGGATAAAAGATTTTTTTTTCATTAAAGTTGTGCTATTAGGGTTCTCTAAAGGAGTCTTATGTGTATTTGATGTATTTATTTAGTTGAAGATCTAAAGAATGAAAAATCTTGCTTATAATAGAGTTCTTAGTAAGTCATTTAACGTTTTTATGAAAATTCTTTACATGAATTAATGTTGTTATTAGTTAGTTAATTTATTATTTTAAGAATTGTATGATAAGTTATTATTTTTTCTTGCTTTCTTTCTTTATCTAGTAGTTAAAATTTATAAAGTCAAAATTAATGAACTTATGTTAGTGGATGGATGTGTTACACTTCCTTATTAGTTATTATTTTTTGAAATTTATTTTTTTAATTAAAAATTATATGATTTGATATCTATTCTAATTCTGAATGAATAGTGAAAATTGCTTTTGAAATTCTTAAAAATAATTATTTTTTACTAATTAATAATTACTTGCTAATAAATCTAAGTTTGTTATGTTGAAAATTTTTTTCTTGATTAATTAGAGGCTCTAATTTTTTGGAAAAAGGTTACACGATCAATAACCAATCTAATTAAGCCACGTGTCACACCTGCATCGTCTAGGGTTTATGGAGAATTATGCGTTACGGTTTATATTTTGTATTATTTTGTCGTAAGAATATTGATTCAGTATATACTGCTAACAGGTGGTCTTCGTCGTCAACAGTATTTTGAGGATACGTTCGGCCTGTTGCTAAGATTACCACGGTTCGTCTCCTTCTTGTCATTGCTGCAGCTAGGCATGGGCCCTGTAGTTGACCGGTGTGAGCACGCCGTTAGCACACTACCGAGTACTAGGAGTACACTAACGAGAGAGGAACTACGAGCAGAAGTCACTGTGCTACTTAAAGATATTGCGTATAAATAAAGAGGAGTCAGTCTCGTGAGCGGCCGAGAATGTTTATGTCAAAAGGACCAACGGCGATGAAGGAGAAGGAGGAGGAGTAGGAGCTAGCTTTAATTGAAGTAAGGCGGAATCGAAGCGAAGAAATTCTGAACCAAAGTTTATTAACTCTCTTGAGGCTAATCACTTCAACTTAAACTATGGGCAAGAAGAAATTCATCGACAAGAAAAAAGCTGCAACTTTTCAGTTACTTGCTCGCGATTCGTCCGATCCCAATTACAATGACTCACCTGGCAGCGACCGTATCTTTGTGCGAGTCGACAACAGTAACTACACGATGAACAGCTTTTTTAATGATGATAGCTGCGACAGAGGTAGCTGTCAACACGGCGATGATGATAATGCGATATTCTCCTATGCTCCTGAAGATAATGATGGCGGAGATGACGATGATCGGGTTTTTGGAAATCCGACTGCATTTAACGGGGGAATTGCTGGGGCCGCCAGGGGAACGGGGCTGCCGGAGTATGTGAGGAGAGAGATTTTGCAGTTAGGGTTTCCCGATGATGGTTATAATTATCTGATTCACTTCAGAGAGATTAAGGATACCGGTGGGGGTTCGGCATTTTATCAGAATCCTAAGGCCAGGCTTGATCAGCTTCCTCATGATGTTAAGGTTGGTCTATTTTCTTCTTTTTTTTTTCTTCCCCTCTGGTCTTCTCTGCTATAATAGTTATCGGTTTGGTTGATTAGAAAGTGGAAGGAAAATCAAAACTAAAAGGGAAAAAGAGAAGATCAATTCACAGCTTTTCATGTTATCAATTTTTATTCCCCCTGAAAAGTACAGCATGTTAATAAATTCAATTAGACATTCTCATGCGCTGCTTCTGTGAACCATGTTTACAGTCAAATACTTTTGTTGTGCTTGTTTTTCAGGCATATGATGCTTCTAGATTGCAGATTTCTCAAGTGAAAGGCAATTCTGATGAGAAATCTATTTATGGTATAGCCTCCGGAGCCGTTAATGTGAGGGTGCAGAAAGCTGTTGATCCTGATGTGACTGCATTGCTTGATGATAGTGATTTATCCAGGTTTGGTTCTGATGTTGAGGACCTGGAAGAGGATTTTGTTGTTCAAGCAAATCTTCCGGAAGAAGAGGGGAAGGATTTAGATATAAGAAACAAGCTCACCTTGGCTGAGGAACTTGAGGCAAGCAATAACAGAGACTATCCTACTTTTAGTCATCATGACAATGCCTTTCGCCTTGTTGACTTGGATGAAGAAAATAAACAATCCACGAGTGCAGGAGATAATTTTGCTAGTGAGAAAACAAGAGTTTATCATCTTTTAGATGAGCAATTTGATTTGGTGAGACTTTTGTCTGTATCATAACATTTCTCTTTCTTGTTTGATGTGTTGAGGATCATTCAGTTTTCATCATGAGCACTCCATTCCTCAGATTAACTAGCAAAATATAGTAACACCATAATATGGTAATTTGCTGTCTTTAGGAATCATCAATTTTGTATTGTACCCAAAATTGCAAATTTATAACATTTTATCTCATTCGAAGTTTACTATGTATGCTACCACCTGCATCAAATGCCAGTTTAGTATCTTTTTTGTTATTTCTGTTTTTTTGGGCAAAAATTGTAGTGTCTCATCTTTGTTGAAACAAATTCCTTCTAAAATACGTAATGTCTGCATTTGATGAAAAGAAAACATATTTTATTGCCTGTTGAACTATAGAGTTATTTTGTAGCTTTTCCTGGGCCTATGAGTTTTGAAATATACATTTGTTTGTGTGTGTTTCCTTCGTAAACTTAGTACTCCATGCTGCAGCTTGAACTTCAAGAATATGGCTCCACTAATGATGATGACTATGATGATTACGTAGCTGAAGAAGAAGAAGAATCTCTTGCAATGAAGATAAAAAATTCCCTTAATGACCGTGCAATGGATGATATTGAACTTGATGAAAAATATGTGGGTCCTGCAGATTTATTGCATAAAAATGAGAAAGCAAAAGATAAAGAGTTACTAGAATCTGCTGTTGATGTCATTCGCCGTTGTGTGGAATATGCTGAGAAGTATGAAAATGAAAATGAAGATGAAAGAGTGGTTGTTGTTCAGGAAAGCAGTGATGAGTCGGAACAATGGGATTGCGAGACCATTGTTTCTACATATTCAAATCTTGACAATCATCCTGGAAAAATTGAAGCTCCAGGAATAGCCATGAAAAAGAAGCTGGCAGAAACTGTCTCCAGATCCTTGCATTCCAGCAGCAATGCAATATCCCTAAGAGGAAAAGAGAAGCTTCCAGTAGACTTTTTGCCTCGTAGAAAGACTGGCACAAAAGAAATAAAGGATGTGTGCAGCTTGAAAACTGAAGTGCCGAAGAGGAAGCCACGTGGACAGGAGTCAAAAGATGAGAAGAGAGAGCGAAAGGTATTATTACTTCTGGCTCTTTTATGTGCTTGTGTGTGTGTTTGTGTGCATGGACAAGCGAGTGCCAGTAACTGATAATTCAGTGCCTATTTCTGTTGAACTTCTTTTCCTGGAAGATTGCACCATGATGACAGACTTTTAAAAGAAACAAATTGTATTAGATTGTCTATAAGTGCACTGCATGTTTTGAAATACTCTGGCTTTTAATTGTTGATACTTCAATTGTTGATACTCCAGACAATATAATGTTAATTGGATGCAGGCTGCTGTAAAGGAGAAACGGCATGAGGCACTACGAATGAAAAAAGAAACTAGTGGGCTGTACAAGGAAACAGCACGACGTGCTCAAAGAGTTGCTGCTATATCTGGGCCTTCTTCTATTCATCTAATGTAAGTAGGGTAGTTATTGAATGATTCTTCCTGTTGAAGTTAATACTGAACTAAGTTCTATTAAAGTTAATGTTGAAACAAATTTTTGCATGAAATTTGACGAGTGTAAGAAACAAGTAGTAGAAGACAGGCAATTCTCGGATTTTTCGGTCGAAATTCTTTCCTCGATCATCTTATTAAGAATATCTCGTCTAGTATGAAGGAGAACTCAATATGAAATAAACGGAATGCGCATTCACATTTCAATAGGACCAAAACATTTGACTCCTTGAATTGCATGTCACAATCATGTTACTTTTGGATCTTCCTCGACAGTCGCTTTTGGATTAGTAGAAGGATGATCAGTTGAGCAAATGATATTAATTCTCCGTGTGCAAATCTCACTTTTCATTCAAATAAACAATTTTGGTTTTTTTGTTTCCTAATTCCACTTGTGGAAATATTGATTCTCCATTCTATATATACGTCTATATGTATATACATTTCTATATAGGTATATAAAATCCACCCCTGCAACTGCAGATTTAAGAGAGTTTTGTCTTCATCTCAGAAGACCCACTTAAAGTTACATGAGTTGATTTTGAGCTGAGATTTGAACTCAAAAAATATTGGTATACAG